CCCCCAAAAAAAATCGGTCATTTAACCCTCATTCACTTCGCTGATTCGAGTTTAGAATTCGAGTTGAGATGTGACTTTATGTGAAAGCTTTTTACTGTAGCAAAAAAGTTAGATGTGATTGTTTGTGAGAGCTTTTTACTGTATAAAAACTTGAATTCTAAACTCGAATCAGCGAAGTGAACGGGGCCTAGTCTAGACACAACCATTTACAATTTTACCTAAGCCTCGCCATCTTCTTTAGAGTTTAACTACCAATTTACACTCTTACAGTTACAGAGCGCAGTATGAATTATAAGACCTAAAATCATTAATGCTTCTAATGCACCACCCGTGCAACTATGAATCTACAAATATATTTTAATTCTCTATTCTCTAGATTGTTCTTTATTATATATATATATATAATGTGATACTTGGCCTTACTAAGCATGCAGTACTTGTTGCCTTCAGGCACCCACCACACAGAAAGATTCCTAGATATTAAAAAAAAATGCCAATAAAAACTAAACATTAAAAAATAATGAATATAACAAAAACAAAATATATTGATAGGAATAGTACTGTGCATAATGTGCCTTGGTTTGATAAGCAATTTTATCAGGCGAAAAAAAAAATAATGTGATAAGTCCATATTTTATGCGATTTTAAATCAAAATCAAGATTTTTATGTAAATCCCACGCATACGTGCAAGCATTAATGCACGTGAAGGTCGGCCTAATTCGGCAGTGGATTGGTTGACTTGATAATTAATAACATGTTAATTAATTATATTATATACGAAGCTAATTTTTTTATCTGGCCGAGGCAGCAAAGGTAAACAGGAATATATGCTAATAATTAGCCAATTACTTTTGTATTACAGAGGGAAGAGTGAGGCTGAGGCCAGCCAGGCAAAAGGCATGCTCCTCATTATGCTCTTAATTATTTTCCTGGATGCTACAATTGCAATCATATGATATAATTACATAATTATTTTGCACATGTTATGAAAACTAAGAAAAAAAAATTTAGAGAGAGAAACTAGAGAGATAGTTTTATTAATCTTGTAAAAATATATAAAATAAAGAGTTTTAGAGCTCTATATTTTTGGCACTATTTACGGTTATTATTTGCATAGTATTTACTATTTGCACTGTAAAATTCTGACGTGAATAATAACTTTGACTGACTTACATAGTAACTTTAACTGAGGTGGACAACTACTATTTATAAAGCAGACATATTTTCCCATGCATATATATTCTTGAATATCACGTAAATATTTGAATACAATGAACTAAACTGTAGTTAATTGGTAGAGAATCATGATTCAGTCATGGGTAAATCAAAATTTCATGATAAGAATATTGATATATGATATAGTTTTGTATAATATTGTGTTATTTTACTTTTTTCTTTTTGAATGTAAAAGGGGTTTGTAAACAATGAAAACATCAACCACTAAGTGTTGTGGTGCAGCAGTGAATATGCCTATAACACCACTTGATCCCCCTTCTAATTAGAAAAAAGATCAAAAAAAAAAAAAACAATGAAAAAATCATATTCATTCATATACTCTTCAAATATTGATCGAATCCTGACACAACACATTTGTGAAAGTACGTAACAAATATTCCATGATCACAAATGTTTTAGAGGCCAATTTACACTGTTACTATATTTTTATTTTTGTTGGAGACACTATTACCGTCAGTTTACAATATTATTGGACTTTATATAATGTCCCAATCTCTTCTCCTTCATCATTTTAAAAGTGATAATTACTTTATCAAAAACAATAATGAGTCTTCAGCTAGAGAAATATCAACTATTTAAATTAAACTTAGAATATAATGTCTGTTTAGTTCGTTGATTTGAGTTTTTAATTTGAGTTGAGATGTGACTTTATGCGATAATTTTTTACTGTAACAAAAAAATTAAATATGACTGTTTTTAAAATTTTGTTATTATAATAAAATTTAAATTCTAAATTAAAATTAATAAAATGAACTAGTCATAATTAGTTTGGGGAAAATAAAATATTTGCCTAATAGGTAGCAATCATAAAAGGTAATAACAATCAAATAAAGAAAGAAATAATAAGTACTATTGTACTTTGAGAGTTAATGAAAGATACATGTTCAGTTCGTTGATTCGAGTTTTTAATTTGAGTTGAGATGTGATTTTATGTGAGAACTTTTTACTGTAACAAAAAAATTAGATGTGATTGTTTCTGAAAGTTTTTTACTGTAGCAAAACTTGAATTATAAACTCGAATCGGTGAAATGAACGGGCCTGAGTTTGCAACTGACCCAATCTTTTGTTTGTTGGCTCATCCGTTTCTCCTTGGAAGTTTTTTACTGTAATAAAACTTGAATTATAAACTCGAATCGGTGAAATGAACGGGCCTGATTTTGCAACTGACCCAATCTTTTGTTTGTTGGCTCATCCGTTTCTCCTTGGACTTGGTGTTGTTTCTGTGGTTGCATTCCCAAGTTGTGTGGGCTGGCCTACAGCTCAAGTCCAGACCATGAATAGCTTTGCAGCATAATCTAAGGACTCGTTTTGTAAATGTATTTAACTTCATAATTATGATTCTTTTATCGTGTTTTATTTTTTTTAAAGAATTTAGATTCAAAAAATTTCTACAAGTAGTTCTTTTATAAACTTTCTATCAATAAATTAAAATTATTAACTTAAACACGTGAATTTTATACGAGTAAAGAGAACCGTAAATATTACCCTTTTTTCTCTTTAAAAAAATATCACATTTTTTTTTTTTTAAGGTTCTTTATCCGCACGTTTATGCTGAGTTTCCACAAAAACGTAGTGTGTTACCCCAATATCCACTGGTGAAAGATGATGGAGATGTTAAATAATGACTCCAAAATGCCAATGCTTTACAGAACACAGACCCCACCATAATACTATAATCTGTCATTCTGTTGTATGTGTTTTTTTCCACATTTTTCTGTAAAAAGAAAAAGAAATAGCAATCGAGAAATTATAGAGCCCGTTTGGTTATAGGATTCGTTCTCTGATTTGAATCATGGTTCATGGTTCGCTACAGTATTTTCTTTTATAAAAAATACACGTAAATTAAAAATGATTATAATTACATGATTCTAATCTATGAACCAAACGGGCTTACTCCAATAACAAAACAAGAAATTTTTTTTTTTCCGGTAACTATATTGAGTTTAATCTTCTATTCGAGTGGTCACTTGTAATGCTTATAATTAATGCTTTATTTTCTAAGAAGTGGAAGGATTTTAATTTATTGAGAGGATGACGCAAAAAGCTTGCCAATTAGAGGATACAAAAGGCATTAAGACGAATATATTTCAAAACGTTATAGCAAAAATGGAAAAGATTTGTAAACATTTTTGTGCGAGTTTGCTTGTCAACGCGTCTAAGGAGAACATAGCTGCCTCGGTTTGAAAAATAATAAAGACCATTTTTCTTGTTCTGAAATTTGATCCCTCCCAATTGAAAGTTGTTTTAGAAAATCAAACTTCAATGGGCAGTTTTTTTTTTTTTTTTTTTTTTAAAGCAAAAAGGAATTTCAAAGAGCTTTTACCGCATCTATTATTGCTCTTAATACTCTTGAAACTTTTTTAACAACCAATAATTGGAACACAAAAAGATCAATTTTAACTAATCAATGCATAGTTTTGTTATAATTATGAATCATGATTTAGAATCAGTGGTTTAAATGATTATAAATCATGATTTAAAATTTAATGTGATGTTTTAAACTAGCTCAAATCATGATTTTAAAATCACATCCTCTTGATTTAAAGTGATTCAAACTCCTGATTCTGAATCATAATTTCATAATCATAATTTGAAGTTAAAATCATAAATCATAATTCTGATTTCAGAATCATGGTTTAAATGATTATAAATCATGATTTAAAATTTAATGTGATGTTTTAAACTAGCTCAAATCATGATTTTAAAATCACCTCCTCTTGATTTAAAGTGATTCAAACTCCTGATTCTGAATCATAATTTCAGAATCATAATTTGAAGTTAAAATCATAAATCATAATTCTGATTTCAGAATCATGATTAAAATTATCTTAATTAAAATTATTGTATCAAACAAACCCTTAAACTAGTAATAAGATAATAAGGTACTATTTTTAAATAAATAAATGGTGAATATTCATTCAAGTGGATAAGCCATCTAAAAAAACACAACACAAAAGTCCCCTTACCATTCACGAAGTGACAATCCTACACATCATACAACTCGATCCATCGGAAGCGTTAAAAATAAAGCTGTTTTTCTTTCATTCTTTTTTTTTTTTCCCTTGTCTTTTTAAATTACTTTCCTCTTTATTAAATTTAAATTCTCCCCAAAAAAGCAAATTAATTAAAAAAAGATTCACTTTTTTTCCCCGCTTTGCCTTTATATTATTAGAGTTTAACCATAAAACAGCGGCAAAATCACCGGCATATACCCGAAAATATTCCCAACGCCGAATGACTCAAACGTCAAAGCTATCAAAAACAAAAATGAAATAAAATAAAAGAAAAAAGAAAAAATGGTCCGATTTATTTTCCTTCCATTTTCTTCTTTCGTTCCCTTCTCCTTCGTTTCGTTTTCCACAGAATCTCAGCTCCAGACGCCACCTTTCTCTCTCTAAAATTGAGACAAAAGACAATTCTACAACTCCACAGCTGCCTTTCTAGACCACCAAAAACAACCCAATTCTTTTTTCTTTCTTTTCAGTTTTTAAATATTAACCAACAAAGAAGACGATTCCACAGATTCTATTCTGTATCTTCAATTTGGTTTCTGAAGTAAAAACAAAAAAAGGAAAAAAATTTGTTTTTTTGGGTGAATTTGGAATTGGGTATGGAGCCGCCGGAGGACAGTAAGATAGGGTTGGAGGAGGCGGAGGAGATAATCTTGCGGTGGGACTCGACGGCGTCGGATGAGGCGAGGGACAAGATGATCTTCGACGGCGATCGGCTCGAGGTTGATCGTTACCTCCACGCCGTTGATCGAATCCAACGGTCCATCTCCTCCATTTCGATCTCCGACGATCAGGCCAAAGTCAACTCCGCCATCCAGATCGCCATGGCTCGCCTCGAGGATGAGTTCCGCAACATCTTGTTGATCCACACCGCCCCTATCGAGGCCGATTCCCTCACCGATCCGAGCTCCTCCACTCACTCCTCCTCCGCCGCCAGCAGTAGCGGCGCCGCCGCCGACTTCGAGGACGATCCCTACGAGGACAAGGACGACGACGAGATTCTTCAGCGTGGAGATTCGAGCAACAGTGTGAGCTACAGGTCCACCAGTAGCATCCGTGAGATCGATCTGATACCGTCCGATGCGGTGATTGATCTCCGGAGCATCGCGGAGCGGATGATCTCCGCCGGATACTTGCGTGAGTGCATTCAGGTGTACGGAAGCGTCAGGAAATCGGCTGTGGATTCGAGTTTCAGGAAGCTAGGGATCGAGAAGCTCAGCATCGGCGATATCCAGAGGCTGGAGTGGGCCCAGCTCGAGACGAAGATCAGACGGTGGATACGCGCCGCCAAGGTCTGCATCAGGATCGTCTTTGCCAGCGAGAAGAAGCTCTGCGAGCAAATCTTTGAAGGCTTAGGCACGGCCATAGACGATGCCTGCTTCATGGAGACTGTGAAAGGCCCCGCGATTCAGCTCTTCAATTTCGCCGAAGCGATTAGTATCAGTCGGAGGTCGCCGGAAAAATTGTTCAAGATTTTAGACCTTCATGATGCTTTGATGGACTTGATTCCGGATATTGACGCCGTGTTCGAGTCGAAATCGTCGGAATCTATTCGAATACAGGCCGCGGAGATATTGTCGCGGCTGGCGGAGGCGGCGAGGGGAATATTGTCGGAATTTGAGAACGCCGTGCTTCGAGAGCCGTCGAGGGTACCGGTCCCCGGAGGGACAATTCACCCCTTGACTAGGTATGTCATGAATTACATAAGTTTGATATCTGATTACAAGCAGACACTGAATGAGTTAATCGTGTCGAAACCGTCGACCGGTTCCCGGTATTCGGGGGATCCAACGACCCCGGATATGGAGTTTGCGGAGCGGGAGGGGAAGACCCCCTTGGCGCTCCATTTGATTTGGATCATTGTGATTTTGCAGTTCAATTTGGACGGCAAGTCCAAGCACTACAAGGACGCTTCCTTGGTCCATTTGTTCATGATGAACAATGTTCATTACATTGTTCAGAAGGTGAAAGGATCTCCAGAATTGAGGGAAATGATCGGAGACGATTATTTGAGGAAGATGACGGGGAAATTTCGCCTTGCAGCTACTAATTACCAGAGAGCTACTTGGGTGAGAGTGTTGTATTGTCTTAGAGATGAGGGCTTGCATGTGAGTGGGAGTTTCTCTTCTGGGGTTTCAAAGAGTGCTTTGAGAGAGAGGTTCAAGACCTTTAATGCCATGTTTGAGGAAGTTCATAGGACTCAAGCAACATGGTTGGTACCAGATTCCCAGCTTAGGGAAGAGCTGAGGATATCAATCTCAGAGAAGTTGATTCCAGCTTACAGATCATTCTTGGGGAGATTTAGAAACCATATAGAGAGTGGAAAGCATCCAGAGAATTACATCAAGTACTCAGCGGAGGACTTGGAGAATGCCGTGTTGGACTTCTTTGAGGGATGTCCTGTATCTCAGCACTTGAGGAGGAGATCTCATTGATGGAATGAAGCGAGTTTTTGCAACTTAGAAGCTAGGGAAAAACATTCTTTTAATTTTTTGGAGCGTTTGGGTGATATGGTGCTGGTCATTCTGGAATTTTCCGACTTCTTCTATTTATTCTACTTCAATTCAGTGTTCAAGAAACCAAGCTCAGTAAGAAGATCCGGTGTAACTCTCCAGACTGGCCAAGTCCTCAGCCTAGATGCTTCTGCCCTGTAAGCATGTTATTCGTTATGAGTTCTAGATTTTTTTTTCTTTTTTCTCTTCTTGTTTATATTGGAGTTATTGTATGTGTGTTTTCTTTTATTCTTATTGATATCGAGAAGCAGTTTCTGTTACAAGCTGGAAATGACTCTATATCATATCATATTTTTAGCCTTGAATTAGATTGACCATTGGGAATTGAAATTCAGATCAGTTCTGTCAATCTTGCATTGCAAGTTGATTTAAAAACTTGCGATGTTTCATTTATTTTCTGCCCTGATGGGATATATATGAATACTAGTTAAGCTCATATTCTAAGAGAAACTTTGTAGAATCAATTTTGATGATTTATTGACTAAAATTCTGCGGTTCCTTATCCACAAGTTAATCTGACTGTCATTCTTTTGCAATCATGAATTCAACATTCAGTTGAAAATTATGTTCATATGCGATAATCATCAGTATGCGATACTGTTTTACAACTAGAATTTTTTATTCCTGCAGAGAGCTTGTTTTAAGCTTCAAACGATTTTTTAATCCTAAAAGTCATTCAGTAACACATATCATGATTCTTTAAAATCTTTTAAACGATCTGAAACGTACGTTAACTAGGGCAATTCAACAATTTATTACAATTTGTTTTGTCCTTTGGGAGTGTAGCTATTGCTTAAATTGGTCAACCCCTTCCTTACCTAAATCGAAGAATTGGTTGACCTCAAGTTGCGAGATTCAGGTAAGAAGCGGGATTGGTAGGTGTGGAGTCAACATCATTGACTTTTGGAATGCAAGTAAAATATAGAAAAGAGTGGCAATAATTGTTAAATGCTCGCAAAAACAAGTCATCTTGTTTAAGTTAGTTTATAGTCCTCCCAGAAGAAAAACTGAAAGCTCAAACTTGCAGTTGATTCGGATATAACTGCAGGTGAGGAATCTTAGATACGTCTTTACCTGAGAGGAGTTAAATGGAATCTTAGGTAAAGTTTTGTTTTAAATATTAGGGCAATTAGATTGCCATTTGAATGAATCGAATGCAATGTTAAATTTAGCAAAAAAAAAAAAAAAAAAACGCACTACAGGAGATTATCAAGATTCAAGAACAAGTTTTGCAGTGTATGAAAATTCAGTCAAGATCAAATTAGTGGGTTTCTTTTTATATGAAAAAAAAAAAAAAAAAAAAACCATTCTGTAGCCAACTCTATTTCAGATTAAGATGGACGCTTATTTTCACGAAGTTAGGAATTGATCGAGTACTATAAAATGAGTCGCGATTATATTTTGTCAAAAATAATAAAATCGTAATGGTTGTATATATTATGGTTCTACAAAATGGTACTTGAAATATTCGAGTTGGTCATATTTAATTCTGCCCACAAATTGTAGGAATTATGGAATGATGCCTGTAGCTGGTAATCCTGCAACATTTCTGCTGCGGTTGAAATTCAAGGATTTTCCGTTTTTCTAGTATAATAGATTAAAGGATTTGAAAGGCATACCATAAAAGATTCTGTCACTCTTTTTTCTCCACAAATGGACTATGAACGGACCTTTTTGTTATTTAATTGGAAATAATTGAGCTTGACATCAACCTATTCACTTTTTAAATCACCGTAATGAACACCTGGATTGCCTATGCATTTTTTGAATAATAGAAAGGGAAATTCTCTTGTATGCTTGGTTAGATCAAGTTTTTTTAATAGTTAGATTTGCGTATTTTTTAATTTTTACTTGATTTTATATAGATCTGAAGCATAAAAAATTTGACTTACCGGTAAGTTAGCGTACTAGAGGTCCCTAATAGAAAACTCACAATTTTGTTGAGGCCTTTTTTTCTTTTGGTGGTTAACAACTTGTGCATTTCTTCCACAATTAATTTCCACAACTAATACTTCTTGCACTTAAAAAGTTTAGCATTGGCGATCAAGAAGACCACAATTAGACCTCATAAATTGACAACGAGAGCACGAGAAGATATTCAAGTATCAGAATTAGATAATTCATTTGGTAATGAGCAAATTAGGAATGTTTTATATTGTTGTTCTGACAAATGCAAGAATCGTTTTCCAATAACAGAAAATGAAGTTGAATCAGTCATTGGCCCCTGGCTATTTTGGATAGCCCCCTGAAAAGCACTTTGGCGGAGGTCGAGGTACATTAAACGAACAAATTCTACAATAAATTTTCATAGAAGGCAATCATTTGCAGGTCGAAATCACATTTTCTAGGTTGGAAATTTCTAAAAGAGAAATACTGTCACTTTGTATCACTCTTTTAACACTTTCAGTATTTATTATTTAATATGTAAATTACTAACTTCTCATTATTCTTTACAAAGGCGCTCTCTCTCACACACGTATACGTGTACGTATATAAAGCTAGCTTTTTGAGCCACATAATTCCAATTGATAAGGACCACTTTTAGCATATAACCAACAATTCAAAGATATATTTATCACAGAGGAAGACTGCTATTATATTCAATAACCGAATGAACAAATAGCTAGAGAGAAATAACAGAAAAGAAAAGAAAAGAAAAAGCTAATATGATCAATCAAATAAAAAAGAAAGAAAGAAAAACAAACAGACAAAAGAAAGCTAACATGACGGGATGTCAAATGAAGTTTTCCCTGTTATCATCCCCGCTGAATTTTCCTCTTCATCGTATATGTTCAGTAAATTATGGGGGTACTACAATCAGCCGGAGACTGTTGCAATGGTAACTAGCAATATTCTTTTTACTCTGTTTTGTCTTCTTCCAGATCACCATTCGACAGCCCGTTACTGCCGGGCAATGATCTAGTTTCCGGAGCAGAACGAACATCTTTTGAAGGAATTGGAGATGGTTTGATGAGTGTTAGAGTTGTATCATCCCTGTCAAACTCTTCACTTCCATCATCAGAGTAAGCATACCTATAGCATAAAACAAGAGAGGAAGTGGCACCGGTCAGTAATTGCTATATTTGAATCTGAAAGCCAATTTGTACATTAAGCATGCCCACAATGGTCACTTGTGGAACTTATTCCAAGTTGTGGCTCTCCTAAGCATGGCTCGAAAAAGAGAGATGGCTTGCCTCGCCAGAACATACTAAGTTCTCAAATAAAGATGGAGAACCGAAACACAATCTTTTGTTCTACAATAAGTGAACATATAAAAGAGAATGAAGGGAAGAGAATGAAGAATCTGGAAAGCCAAGGTTTGATTTTACCTCATTGAGTTCTGGGAGGGTGCCCAAAGAGCACAGATGACGCATAGAAGAGAGAAAGATAGGACTTGCCAGAAGGCTGGGATGATCCAAGCATTCTGCCACTGCTCATTGTAAATATCATTTGACTTGAAATAGAGCTGCAATTACAATTTATCAAATGAGAAACACACAAAGCAGAAATCGCAAATACAAGAACATAAAATACTACATGCCTCGTAATGGAGGAACCTTTAAAATTTTAGTTTACTTTCCCATTCACCACTACATTTTTTTTTGACGTCTGTGTTGAGCTTTGACATTCATATCTTGTATCTTCTCAACTAAAAGTGTTAAGCCTATTTATTATAATCATATTCCTCTACATTAGAATCATTGCCATGGTTCACTAGTCAATTAAGAAACAATGTTAATATACTTTCTTCATCTTCATAGGCGTGATATCTTGATTACCTCATAGCATATCCAACCAACGGACACAATAACAGCTACTGCCAAAGCGTTTGTGAACTTCCTGTAAATATCTAGTTTAACCAGCATTCGCCTTGCCTGCAACATCACACACAAAAGATCAAATGTCATTAGCTGGATTTTTGTATAATTTACTACAGAAGAAACAATGGAGAGAAACATAAGCAATGTAACACGAGCAAACGACTACTTTGTGATTAACTACCAAAGGTGAAATGCGACCAAGTACCTGAAGCTTATTTAAAGTTGCAGACAGAGATGAAAATATCCATAGGATGAAGAAAGCATCCAATAATGCCACAGGGAGAACCAAGAACAATCTGGCCTTTCCGGAAAGATCACTCACTGCACCGACATTTTCTACCATCTCAAGAACTTCAGATGCCGTAAAGAAGGTGGCTCCAAGCATAATCACCTTTGATGTAATCCCACCTAACGTAGGTCTAACAACACCATAACCCATCGAAACCATCAAAATGACCAAACGTGCCACGGTACGTTTAATGGTGCCAAAAGTGACAGCCCATATAGTTGTCCCAGTAGGCCTGATTCCAGTCTCGTTGAACTCAGCATAGTCAAAGAACCACAAAGCCATCTCAAACATTCCCAGAGTTATCACTAGAGTAATGCAGTTCTGCAGTGGAAGAACTTCTCTCCAAAACCTCGCGTATTGCGAAAACCAAAAGATCCCAAGTAGCACAAAGGCAAATGACATGAACCCATAGAATTTCATAAGAGGTGCCATTCTACCAGGTAAATATCCATTAGGGTTTTTCCATATTGTTTTCCCCTCTACAACCACATCCTTAAGCCTCACATCACAATGCATGAAATACAAGTTATACATCCCAGTTTTAGTGATCTCTATCGACTTTGATGGTAATGTGACAGCTTCATCATCTACCTCAAATGAGACACCAAAAACTTGGGGCCAACCGGGATTAGTAGCGGACTGGCGGTGAATGATTTCTCCTTCTTTACACGCATCCAGTTTAGCAAGATCAGCAGTGCAACACACTGCCCTTTGACCCCCATATGCTGAACCCCCAATTGTTTCTCTATCTTCCACCTCAAAAATAACGGCGTGGACCGACCCCGAGCTGAAATTTGCATATTCTTTCGGTCTCCGGAATGTTACCTTTTCAAAGCTGGTTTTCCAGATCACAAGCAAAATACAAACAAGGTTCATATTTCAGTACAACATAGACATTGAGAAACAAGTTCATTGAACATAGAATTGAATATTGGAGACTAATCAAAATTCAAATTTTCAGTTCCATTTTTTTTTTAATGTTTTTTAAGCATCAACAAGTTCATAATTGAACTCACTAAGACTAACATTTCTTTCTATTCAACTTTCCACAATCACAGAAATTACAATTCAAGCTAAATTTCACATAAAACAGTAACACAAACGAGAAAATTCAAAGTGAACTAAGGAAATATCGCGCGGTTGAGAAGGGGAAATGGCATTACCGTACATAAGAGTCTCCGTTAGAAGAGATAGAATTGTCGCTGGGACCAGAGACAGAAGAGTAAATCCCCTCGCTGCCTCCATGGACGACGAAGGCGTTTCCTTTTGCGGCGAATCTCTCGGCTGCGTAGTCGTGGACGGAGGCCTCGACAAAAGCGAAGCTCAAAGCGCAGAGAAGCGCCAAAGCCGAGACCCACAACATTGGAAGAAGAAGAAGCTTCTGGATCTGTCGAGGTCTGAAAGGTAGCCGCTTTTGTCTGCACTCTTGGAGAGAGAAAATAAGAGAGAGAAACAGAGAGAAGCGCGTTTGAGATCTTCTGTTACACTTCTACTTGGCTGAGCTGAAAGACGATGTGAAGCTTAAAGACGACTGTGAGAAACTATTGCCCGTAGTGCTTACGGACAGTAGATTATGTCTAAGTGGAATCTGAGCCGCTCGATTAATCAGTTTAGCGTCGATCTATCGTTTGGTTTTTGGGGATATGTAGAACTGAGAGCGCTGAATCGTCACTAATTTAATCGACAGTCAATGTTGTCGGTGTTAAAACCACTTGCATTTTTATTATTAAGTTGAGCTGCTCGTGAGAATAACATTTTTTTTCTTTTAATTTTGTCAAATTACCTTTCAACTTGTAAAATTGTGTGCAATATATCTCATTATTAACTATAATTGTGTTAAAAAAGTACATTTTACGACAAATTTTAAAATTTCTATTCAAATATAACACAAATATTTTAATTTATTAACTGATAATCCCTTAAATCTAATAAAAAATTTAAATAAATATAATAAAATAAGACATATTACAATAATTTTATAAGTTCAAAGGGTTAATTATTAAAATTAAAAATTTAAGAAATAATTTGTTAAATCACGTTAAATTTAAAGATAATTATAATAATAACCCTTAGTTTTCAGAACATATTCTACCGTTGAGAATCTCTGCTCTATATAAAGCTCTTTGTTTTCAAGTTTCAACAAGGATGGTAAACTGATGGATGCGCTTAATTTCCTATATTTGGAGAAATAAGTTATTGTTAAATTAATGGGAGGATTTAATTTAATTTAATTTTTATATTTGGAGCAACACAGGAATTTTGTAATTCTTTGGAAAATTTTGTATGAAAGGGTAATAAAAATTCTAGAATTTTTTTTTTTTTTTTTAAAAAGAAGCACATATCCAAATCTGACCAAACTGCGCAACACAGTTTAATTATTATTATTATTATAT